TCTTAAATGCATCTGTGCTCACTCCCACATTATCTCCTCCAGGAAATCCCCTCTCCCCCAATTAGACTTTTGAAGAGCTTCCTTGGTGATAATAGTCTTTAAAACAAAAACCTAACTGCTGCACAGGGGTGATTTGTTTGAAGGAGGGATCACTGTGCACAGTGAAAAGAGGGTTAGCTGTTTTTTCTTCCAGAATGCCACCTTGCACAGAAATTCAGCCAGGAACAGTTTTGCAAGTGCTTAATGGCTGTGCAAGTGGCAGAGGGAAGACTTCATGGATTGGAGATTTCCCACCCTTGGCAGAGAGCCTAATATATGTCTTTTTTTTATAAGACTGCATTTTTGGCCCGCTTTGCTCTTAAAGTGGTTAGTGTTTTAGCACTGTGTGGTTCATATACCCATATTATTTTCTAAATCAGCCGCTGAAAGGGTCCTAGGCTTATTTCTAACCGCAAAATGTCTTGTCTTGCTTCCAGAAGAAGCATTTCTAAGTGTATGTGTGTGTTTGGGGGTTTTTTAAAGTAGTTCTCTGGAGGAAGTTAAGTTCCAGGCTTAAAAACAGGTTCTTTGAACATTTCTCTGGGCCCTCAGCTTTCAGAAAGCCCTGTTTGGAAAATGCTGTTTGCAAACCTTAGAGACTGGAGTGAAATATGAGGTAAACAGAAGCGTTCAACATGATTAAAGTCTGAGCCAGCCTCCTGCTTTAACCTGGTGCCTTCCAGGTATTTGGGAGTCCAGCGCCTGGCATTCCTGCCCTTTGGCTGTGCTGGCTGAAACTGGTGGCAACTGAGTTCCCAAAATATCAGGCGAGCGATAGTTTGGGAAAAGTTGGGCTATGCTCTTCTTGGGTTCAAACTGAGCACTTTGAATCATGCCTGTAGAACTGTAGAAAGGTTATTTGCATAGATCCCGCAAGGGGAAGGGGGATCTATAAGATCCCGTAAGAATAGGTGGGCATCTTCAGGCTTATTCCCATCCCCATCTTTTTTCCTGGAGCCCCACTGAGCAAGCCTGGTTAGCAGCACACCCTGAAGAAACATCCTCAGCTCATGGAGTGGTGCCCCCTCTCCAGAATGGCCAGGTCTTGTGCTGTGCCTAGTTGCCCATGTCTAGGGCTGGATCAAGGCCACTTCAAAGCTGTTACTGTGTTAGAAATTGTCGATGTGGAAGACCTTGAAAGGCAGCAATGTGTTGGGTGTTGCTTCTCATCTCGGCAAGCTAACACTTCATTTATCAATTTTTGTTTGTGGGTTTCTCTCTTTTTTTAATAAACAGTAATTGATACAGCTGAAGCCATCTGGCGACGGTAGGTTTAGAGCTGCCGCACTCTGTTCATAAACCTCCCACTAATGTCTCTCCCTGCCTCCTTCCGAATTCAAACTGCAGCTTTCTGTCTGCAGCATGCATCATGCTACTGTGCAGAGGAGCAAGCCAGATGAACAGTTGGGAGAGCTGAATTGCACGAGCAGGGGAGGGTATATGTGTCTAAACAATAATTCAGTCACTATCTGTTTTAAAAGCCATCTGAAACTGTGCTTTATGCAGGCCAGACAGGCCTTGACTCTAAGCAGCATTCTCTTTTTCAGGGAGTCTGGCTTTCCACAAGCCATCCTGTCACGTGGAGATGGGGTCATAACTTCAATCTTACAGGTTTCTCTCTGGAATTTGGTTTCTCAAAAGAATGCAGAACACATGTTTTGGGTTCTCAAATTTTAAAAATGAGTAAGAAGCTAAAATCCAGCACATTTTTGGGTTGTGGATGCAAGTTGTGAAGACAGACACAAACACTTCAGAATGTGTGGGTGTTCATACTTGAATACTTGAGTATTGACAATTCAAGAAGAAAATGAATAGAAGGGAAATCCGGGTTCTAGTGACTGCTTTTTTTTTTTTTAACAACTGCTCCATTGTTATTTTATATGGAAGCCTTGCTGGAACCCTGAAGAGCAGGGTTCAAATGCTTTGAACAAATAAACCAGATTGTTTAAATTGTGTGACTTGTCAGAGAGGTATCTGTGTTAGACTGCCACAGCAAAAACATTGGCATCCTGTGCACTTTAAAGGCTAACAAATGCATTGCAGAATAAGCTTCCATACATGAGAGGCCACGCCGTCAGGTATGAATGTTGCATCAGGTACTCTGGCCCATCAAGGCTGGAGATGCTACACAAACACACTGATGCGTTGGACATATATTAGACTGCTTTTGTTCTTGCACTGGGCAAGAACCATTTAATGGCTGTACATTGCAATATGGCTAAGAGAAGTGCTTGTGTGGTTAACACTTTTCTTTCCTCCACAAGCACAGCATTTGGTTCCTCAGTGATATACTGGTGTTCTTCCATTTCATGTGATCAAAGAAACCTTTTTGTTGTGGAAGTAAATCTGAATTTTGGGACAGGAGCTGTCACAGTACAGTCATAAAACCCAGACAAGCATTTGATCTGATTAAAAAGTATTGAGTATTTTCTTTATGATTAACCTGTTCTAGAAAACCCCATTCCCTGTCTCCTAGTTTTCTTTCTACCCTGTCCCTGGTCTTTACCAGAAACTTCCAAATGGAATAGGAAGTAACAAAGTAGAAAAGGGGCTGAATCACCTTCAAGCATCTTGAGTGAAAAGCTGTCTCTTCTCTGCTCCTGATAAGGTCCCGTTTCTTCTCACTAGAAATGTCCAAATCAGCAAAACTTGAGGTCGCCAAATTTTTCCAAATTCCATCTCAAAGCTTGTTCTGACTTGAGTCTTTATTAGGTTATGAATGTTTTTCCGTTTGCCTAGCAAAATGTATTTTTGTGTGTATTTTTCCAAATGTTCACATCAGTTGTGCACATCTTTGACAGAACAAATTCTTTTCCCATTGATTAAAGCCTATTGGTGAGCATTTCTCAAAAGCGCACAGTGTTCATGCATGTTTTACAAAGGGACACATACTGTTGAATGGAGCTCTTGGGAGGTGAATCACATTGTAAGCTCAGAAATGTACAGACCGACCACAGAATACCTCTGAGTCCATGCTTGGCCCCCAAGGTGAGACTGAGTAAATCCTGATAAAAATGAAGTTAAAACAAATTTCTAATACATCCCTTCCCTTGTACACTGCTTTTTACTTCAGAGATCTGCTCAGCCTTGTCCACTTAAGGCCCTCCTCCTCACAGTCGCATCTGTGCCTTCTGCCACTCTGCAGCCTTTGCTCAGAGAGCTTCCTTCTTTCCTCAGGACTTCACAGTTTTGGCATTGCCACTGCCACCTCCTCTTTGCCAGCTACCTCCGGATGCTACCTTCCCCAGTACACATGTGTACACTCATTGGATCTTGCTCCCTTTACCCTTTAATCTAGATAGCATGTTCTCCGAGAGGAAGGGTGCCTTTTTCATTTTGCAGCATACCACACACATGAGTTACTCTCCTACAGAGTCTCATACTCAAGTTCTCTCCTACAGAACTGCATCAGCTCAATTTAAGTGAATATTGCGGGGGGGGGGGCATTTTACTGGCGAAGAGTTTACACTGTGTGTGCATGCAAATGAATGAGAACAACCTAAAGGGAGAGCCTTGCTGGGTTAGACCAAAGGTCTGTCTCACCCAGCATCATGGCTCCATCCTTGGTCGCATCCAGAGTTAGCTGTGTGTATATATCGCTGAACTTGCCAAAGTGGGTTTTCCCACCCACTCCTCCACGTGGTGTTGCCTTCAGCCCCCTGAAAATGCTACACAGAGTGTTGGGGAGGCTGCTGATGGGTGAGTGGTAGAGGGGGAGAAGGATCCCCAAAAACCAGGCAAAGGCACCTTCCTTTTGTCTAAGGTTATCAGATTTTGGACCTAACCTCAGATGGCTCTGGAAAGCTAACCAGGTCATGAGGCCAAATAGACACTTCTGTTGTGTTCCCCAGCAATTCATACTGAGAAACAGGCCACGTCCAAAACTTGGAAGCGCCTACAGGCATCCAAGTAATTGCTTTTGACAGATGGTTTGATAGTAGCCCTTGTCACTATTCACAGTAGACTGCATCACTTTTTGTGAATTCTGTAAATAAATTCCGTAAATGGATCATGAATCATGTGAAGTTCTCATCCTTCTGTCCTGAGTCTACTGCCTGTCAATTTCTAATGATGACTCCAAATTTGAGTGTTACAGGTGAGGAAAAAGAAATTACCTGCCTACCCCATACCATGCATAATTTTATAAAAATTCTACATGTGCACATGAATTCCTGGCTCAAGAGGACTCTGGCTTTCTCAGAGCCAGTGAAATGAAACACATGTCCATGAATCCATTGTCTCCTTCAGGCAAACAATAAATGTAGACAGCAAACTTCAAACCCTGGAAGCTGTGGAGTGTTTCCAATGATCAGTATAACGGTGAACCCACCATTATTGGCTAAAGAGATCTTTCACTGCATTCTCCCTCAGGCTTTAAATTATTATTGGCGGATTCTGCTGAGATATTTCTCTCACTTATTGTGAGAGTTTGTTTTCCCTTCCTTTCCTCCACACCTCTCTCTTCAGTTTATTCTCTCCTTATGAAAAGATAACAGCTTGTCCGTTTTTTGCAGCAAAACATCCAAACAAGCAGAGGGAGCGTCTGTGCTTTGAAAATTCTTCAGCTTGTGTTCTGTGGTTTAAAAAACAAACCGCCTTTATATGTCTGTATGAATCTGCATTTGGGAAAATGTTGTCTGCTTTTGTGTCTCTTTGTTTTTCAGAAGAGTGCTTAGTGTCTTTGACAAATACTGTGTTGCAAAACTAATTACCTTAGGTTCGTATATTTTTGTGTCTGTGGGTGTGCTTGATTGACACACATGTGGATGGGGCTGTGCATGTCTTTTTCCCCCTTCATATCTTTTGCACCAAACCTGATCAACTCTTAAAAGCCCCTTAAACACATTCACTCATTCAAGTTCAAAAATGAGAAAATGCTTTAAATTTAGAGTTGCTGGTGAACTCTAACTCTGTTTGGGGATATGTGCATATATTTGATTTGAGGAGCCTCTCTCCTGTAGATGATCCCAACCCATCCGGAGCCGATGTCCAGCCTGGAATGCATCCAAGTCTAGTCCTGCAGTTCGACTGACCAGAAGTTTCAAGGGTCTCAGAAGCTGTGCATGGAAAGCTAAGTGGTTCATTGGTTAGGGCAGCCTTTCCCAGACTGGTACCCTCTAAAAGTCTTGGTCTGCAACTCTCATGCACACTGAGAATGTTAGTACTTGCAATCTTGACTCACCTAGAGGGTAGCAGGTTGGGGAAGGCTGGTTTAAAGTGTCAGCAAAGGCGAGGTGGTGCGGTAGTTCAAATCTGCATTCAGCTTTCTGGTAGAGTGGGGGGGGGGGTTAGGGGGGCTATGACACCTATAACAGGATTGAGGCCTCTGATCACACCCTGGCCACATTCTAGGTGCAGACCAAATTCAGGCTTAATCTAAAATTCAGATTAGTTTTCCAGACATCTGGCAGTCCTCTGTGAAAGTAACCCCCTCTCCCTTTGCATTTCTTTCCATGGAAGATAATAGTGAGTTGACCTGTCCCAAATTTATAATCTTGCATGTCTTATTCCTCTCCAATCCCTCAAGACTATTCGGCCGGTTCATTAACTGGATCCAGCCAGAGCCGTATTGACTGCAGCTGGGAGTCTCTGCTGACTGGTTCCACTTTTCTCAATGGTCTGTTTCAGTTTGCTTATATGGGGTGCCAGCTCGTTATAAAGCTGGAGTTGAACATATCTTTAACCCCTGATTCAAAGTCAGTTGCAAGATGCAAAAACACAGATGTTGTATGAGTGTGCTTCCAGTTTTTCTAGTCTCTCGGGTGGGAGGTGGCAGGAGGTTCCTAAGGTTTGTGGGGTGAGAGTTGCACTAGATGTGCCTGTGTCATCTTCCTATCAAGGCTGCCAAATGTCTGCACCCAGCTCCATGCAGCTTCCAGTATAGTGCAAGTCCTCTGAATTTGCTGCTTACAAGATGCCAGAGACCCTCTGAGAAACTGTGACACTGAAGTGCTTTAGTAAACTGGCCCAGCGTATGCGTTGGAATAGCCTTCAGTTGAATACAGTGAAGGCTTCATGGAATCCTTCAGAGCTGTCAGAATTGGACACGCTGCATGTGCCTGCCCAGGAGCAGGCTGTGTGTCTACGAGGAAGGGAGTCGGAGTCTGCTCCGTTCCCTGAGGGGAAGGGCTGCTCTCCAACCTATGACCCTGGCCCTCTGCCTATGGACTGCCCCTGGCCCAGCTGTATGGGCTGCCATGCTACAGGGAGGTTAAGGGAGCCTGCCCCCAGTGGCTAGAGATGTTACTGCAGGCTCCAAACTCATGGATACCTTCAAACTAATTACATGTGAAGAACAAAATATCCTCCAGGAACACAGCCATAAGGTCCCCTTAGTGCGCATGCCACATTTCCCAAGCCGAGTGCTATGGTGCCGATGGACAGATGGAGGTACACTGTGCTATTACTGATACAGACAAGGGTGCTACAGATGAGAAGAGGCAGTTGAAGCAGCAACAATGCCCAGCTGTTGCAGATCGCACTTTGGGCCCATCGGCCTTTCTTTTTCAAGGTGGACAATTTCTCAGATGAAACACGCTGGGCTCAAAAGTGGCTGGAAGTCTTCCTTAGAAGGCTTCTTTTGATACACTGGCAACTTTGGCTATTCTGAGGTGAGGCAAATAAATAGACTCTGCACATGCCCAGAAGCACCCTCCATGTTATTTATTCCCATGTTCTTGCACTTGTAAGAATTTCCAGGATTAAATTTTCAGGATTAAACTGTCAAGCAAGTTCAGGCATGCAGCTAACTGAGGAGCACTCTTGATAGTTAAAGGGAAAGGTAGCAGACCACATGCTCTGCATGCTGAAAGCCCCGGCATCAATGTGCACCACCTCCAGGAAGGGCCGGATCAGACCAAGGCTCCGTCCGCATTTAGCCCAGTCTTCTGTTTCCACCAGTGGTCAATAGGGTACCTCTAGGAAGCCCATCATAAGCAGGAGATGAGGGCAATAAGCTCCCCCATTGTTGCTACCCCACAACTAGACTCTAGAGGTGATGCTGCCCCTGATCTGGAAGATTGCGTATAGCTATCATGACTCGTAGCCACAAATATTTATTTTCCATGTATGTGTCTGCTTTCCTTTTAAAGCTGTCCACATTCGTGGCAATAAAACAACTGATTCTATTTTATTTTTAATTGGTTGCCATCCTACCATCTATCTGGACTGCCTACATTCAACCCATGGAACAGGGAACTCCAAATCCCATCGCAGGTAGGAGGCAGCTCAGCAGAAGGGCAAGATGCTAGGGCAGGACTCTGGTGCTACCATGCCTTACTCCATGTGCACTTTACAAAATTATCCTGGCCAAAAGACTGGTGGTGGTGTGTGGATAGGAGGGGAGGTAGGCAGGAGAATTCTCCTAAGCCGGCAGAACTAGAATTTCCGTCTTTGTGCAGCATTGTTCAAATTGCAATGTGGGAAAGATCCAACAGATGCTCCTCCCCTCCCATGCAGACTCGGAGCATTAAATTTCCATGGAGCAGCCTATGCTGCCCAATTTGTCATTGCTGGGCATTTGTGAAAGGCAAAGGAACCCTATTCTGGGGGCAAGGCAGTTGGTTACAAAGCATTATTTGGAGATGCTCCTACCTTGCTGGTCTCCTCTGACTCTGATCTGGCTTACATAGGGAGTAAAGAGTAGTTTCTCCCTGTGGTTTGTTATGCAGCACTGTGTAAGTGAAATTACTGCATTGTGCACGAATGATGTCAGAGGAGACTAGTCTATATGCAAAAACCATTAATTTTAGAATTCCAGTTATGAATTAGAAACCAAGTTGGATTCAGTGTGCTCCTGTTATGGGCCAGAATGTAGGTGGAAGAAACAGGCAAAATCTTGTGCCTGCACACCTTTTTGGATTTTTCCTCATGGGGACTCCTCTGCTACCACTGTGTAAACATCACTGCCCAGCATCCTCCAGCTTTTCCATCAAAGTGGCTTTAAAACTCCCAAGCTCCCAGAGTCAGAGATTTAGTTTAGGTTGGCTATTCAGTGTGGAGTGGTAACCCTAAAGGAGAAGGGAACAGAAAGTTTTGAGTTACTTTTGTCCCCAAAGATGTTATTGAAATACATGTTAAATGGGAAGTTTCCCAATCTGAATGGATACCTTATGAGCAGTAAGACAACAAGCCTAGGAATTAAGGCATGCAGCTAAAACTAGACTGCAATCAGTTTCCTTACTCATGCCATATCCTAGTATCATTGAATTAGGGGTCTTGATCAATTCTCCAGTTCTATCACTTTTTAAAAATAATGCATCTTCTTTCTTCTAGGGCTCGGCTTCCTTCCTGCTCTCTCATCTCCTCTTAGGTTTCATCATAGGCTTTTTCACTCGTCCAAGAAATGCTTCCTTTCCACAGTTCCAACCAATCAGGGGGTAAAGCAAAGGACAAGTGAAGTCAGCTGTGTGCTAAGGAGTGCCTGCAAGCACCGCCTGAGTGCGTGTCGCTCGTCTGGCTTTTTCCCCAAGTGACAGCAACGTGCGGGTTGAGCAAAGCCTGGCCGAAGCACCAGCCGCAAGAGCTCCAGCCGGTGCTTTGCCTGGCAACCTGTGGCCCTCCAGCTGTTGTCGGTCTACAGTTCCCATGAGTCCCAGCCAGCATGGCTCATGGTCATGGATGAAGGGGCGTAGTCCCGGAACCTGCGAAGGGACACCGGTTCCCCCTGATCTGCACAGGCCCCACTCCATGAGTCCGGGGTCATTCACCTGAGCCATCTGTAGCAGTGTCTCTTGCTCTTATTCAACGCACAAGCTGAACAAACTGGTGGTGTCAGTGGCATTTTTGTAGACTGATGCTCCCAGCCTTTCCACAGTGTTAGGTGGCTGTGTTCACCTGCGTAAGTCAACTGGACTGACTCCTGTTTCAGAAACCAGCCTTCAGCAGGCGCGCAGGCTCCAAGGCATGACAGCACGCCTTGTGCGCTCTGCCTGGGATGTGGTCCGGGCTCCTGCGGGATGCCCTTGGATGCCACCCCTCCACGGCCCCTGAGCCAGCTCCTCTGCCCTGGAAGAGCGCCTCCACCCCACTGGAGTTGATCTGTGCCCTGTGAGTCAGGAGCAGAGAGGAAACGGGACCAGCCAGAGTTCTGTGTGTTGAATGGCTGGGAACGGCGCTGCTCTTTTCGAAGACCAGCCATTCATTTGTATGCAGCTCAGTGTTGTGTACGAATTGCAGTTCCCTGGCGGCGGCGCAAAACCCTGGCCATCTGTTGGGCTGCCGAGTGACTTCTGGAGAACAACTTGGTGGTCTTTGCTGCTGACAGATAGATCTGCTTCCCCCAAGAGGCTGCTGCAGCTGCCACCAAGTGTCTCCTTTTGTCGACACTTTCAGGGTCACGTTTGCACAAACCCAGATTGATATGATCCTTTAATCAGCTTTGCCCTGTTGCATGTTCTGTGGTTTTGTGTACAGCTGGAAAAGATGTGTTTCCAGAACAGAGGAGATAGGAGGGCTTAATTTAGCGCAAAACCCAAAATCAAACCAAGCAGTTAAGTGAGCCCCTCCCCTTCCTGTAGCACCATTTCCTTTAACCTGGTGCCCTCCAGATGAGTTGGACTGCACCACCCATGGTTCCCGACAGCCTAGCCAATGGCCCAGTTGGAAGGTGCAGCCCAGCACATCTGGAAGGCACCAGATGGGGAAGGAGCTCTGCAGCTTGTCTCTTTTCCCCAGAAACTTCAGGTCTACGTTTCTTTCAGTAATGAAGGGAAGGCATTTCATGCATGTTCCAAGTGACCTGGAAATGAGGCTCCTGCCTAATACACAGTGTGGGAAATGAACCGTACAGCATCAAACACATGACTCCTCCAATGAAATATTGGCAGTACAGGCTACCAGTCAGCCATGCCCTTTTCAGATGCTCCCTTCTTTGCACAATGGGCATGCTGATTGGGTTATTTTGGATCTCGTCCTCTCCCTGTGGGTTCCTTTAGGATGTTTTCTCTCCCCTTTACGTCTGCAAACCTTGGATTCTGTCCAGACTGGCCGATTCCTCTTGTCCTTGCATGGCGCTGTTTCAGTGACATTAGGATTGGCATTCAGAGGATCAGGTTGCTGTTAGTATATCAGCAATGCCAGTTTTGGACCTAATTCTTAACCACTATGATCCACACACTGGTAATCTTGACACTGGACTCTTATAATCCTGTATGTGGAGTGCTGGGGCTGGTCCAGAAGATGCAGCTAGTGCAGAATACTAAGGAGTACTTTGCTAGATGAACAAAACACACTGGAAGAGTTGCACTGGCTGCCAGATATCCACTGAGTCCGATTCAAGGTGTGAGTGACATATGCAGCCTTAACTTAGAACCAGTTTGCCTGAAAGTTCATCCTCCCTGTACAAACCAGCTAGGCCACTACAGAGCCCCATCTGGCAGCACATGACTACAGACCTTCTCTGTGGTGGCCCCCAGTGCTCTGGAATGACCTCTCCCAAGAGAGTTTGGGCACTGGTGGTCATGTGACTTTGGGGATTATTAAAATTGTTTACCCTGGCTTTTCTGAATCTCTAACTACTCCAAATGCTTTTGTGCTTTCATAATTATGTGCTTGGTAGTTGGCTGTAACAGCTTTGGAATTTTTTAAAATGGGAAGCAGTATATAAGGATTCTAAGATAAATTTTGCCTATTGATTCTCCCCTGTTCTCCCAGCAGGGTTTCATTACAGTTTCAGAGACATAGGACGGAGGGGGAAGGGAGTGATTTGCAGGTAAAATGAAACTTTAGAGCCCCTATTCAGTCTCTCCAGTTCTGCCTTGCAAATTGTCCTCCGGCCTCAACATGAATGTTAAGAGGAAAGCATGACTTGAAACTCCACGTTTTCCTTGTAACAGCTAGTTGCCCCCTGGGCTGGCTGCATTTCTCTAGTACGGAGACAGTATTTTCCTTCTCTCTGCAGTCTCAGGTGGGGGCTACACACACACACACACACGTGTGCGCGCGCGCGCGCGCGCATGCACGCATGCTGCAGTTCAAAAGCCACCTGCAATTCTGAAAGGGACTGAAATGAACACACTTCTCCATGGTCCTCTGGCACCACAGAATTCTTTGGGCCAGTATTTGATGCTGCAGAACCTCAGGCTTGGGGACCAAACCTGGCCTGCCTGGTTCCCCAGATGGCTTCACCCCCCCACCTCCACCCCCACCCCCACCCCAGAACTGAACATTCACTGGTTGCTTTTCTCCATTCTGAAGTGCTGAGCTGCCTCCTTGAAGACCTAGTTATGGACAGTAAGAGCTTTAAATTCAAGTAGGGTTTCTCTTCCACTTTGCTCATAACTAGAATCTGGCCCCCAGATTTCGGTTCAACGGAATTTGGCCTTCTGTTAGGAAGGTGTTCGTCACCCTTACGAAGCCATGGCCAGATGGCATTTCTGCTGTATCTGTGCATTCTGAGTGATACAAAAGCTCTCAAGCAAGCTTTGCTAGGAGCACTTAACTTCCAAGTCATGTCCCTCTTTCCTCCTCCATAACTTGCATACCATGCCTTGCCTTTGAATGTGTGGGCCCACAGACGCTTGGTGCTGTGAATCATCTGTGTTACTCGAGGGTTTAAGGGTGAGGTTGCAATATGTGCAGGACAGGGGTGGGTCTGCATCATATAAACCCCGTGGGGTGGAGGGAGAAATGTTACATGGCAACAAGAGCTAAAACTGCCTTCCCCAAGTTGGTGCTTCCAAATGGGGACCAACTTCCATCGGTCCCAGTGAGCAGGGTCAGTGGTCAAGGACCAGTCCATAACATCTGGAAACATCAGCTTGGGGCAGGTTGAGCTAAAGAAAGACACTAAGGACATAAGAACAGCCATGCTGGATCCATCTAGTCCAGGCTGCCCATAGGATTGCTCAAGCAGGATGGATGCGAGACCTCCACCTGCCCAATCTCCTAGAGGAGGTAGCTCATAGCCAGCAAGGCTAGTAGCCACTGATAGCTGCCTCCCTCATGAATCATCCAGTCTGCTTTTAAAGACATCCAAATTGGTGGCTATCAGCAGTTCCCACAGCAGCAAATTCCAGCATTTAATTATATGTTGTGTGAAGGACTACTTACTTTTATCTGTCTGAAACCTCCCACCAATCAGCTTCATGGGAGGACCCTGGATTCATGCATTATTTTAAACAACTCTGACTCCCCTTGGTCGCTTTTTTTTTTTAATGCTGAACAGACCCAGTTGTAGCTGCTACTCATAAGGAAGCTGCACCAGCCCCCTGATCTTTTGGTTGCCCTTCTCTGTGCTGCTTGTTCCCAAACTAACAGGACAGCAGGCACATGACTTGCTCACATCCTGGTTTTTAGGAGTGGAGCTCATCACAAATGCAGCAGAAACCTTGCCAGACTTTGCTCCAACCACCTTTCTTGCCATCCAAAGTACCCCTTCCTTATTCCTGCTTACCTAAATTGTGATCAGTGGTTAATGATATTGAGCGTAATCCCCCAGGGATCTCCAATCTTCTTGGGTCTGTGGGCATATTTGGGAGAGTTACGGGCACTCTCACAAAATGGGGTGTGTGTGGCTTGCTGATTCATAAAATGGCTGCCCTGGCAGGCATGGCCTTTCATAAAACTGTAGCTTCTCCGTAGACAAACTGGTGAACCTAAAAGAAAATTGCCCAAGTATGAGGGAGAGGTAGGGCCTGAATTCCAAAACACTAAACCATTTTTTGAACCCTAATATAGTTGTTTGCAGGATGGCAACATCCCAGTTCAGATATATGCACAATATCTCAAAAGAAATAATTAAAATCAGGATATAGAGAAGACCTGATTCTCAGTTTAACCTGCCTCACACAGGCTTGTTCCGATGATAAAAGGCAGAGGAGGAGCAGAACCATTTAAGTTACCCTGTGTTTCCTACAAGAGGAAAAATGGTGAGAAATAAATATAGTAATAAAATACTGATGTGTCATGAACATTAGTGGATTTTTAAACAATAAAGAAACAATTAAGAGTGGATTCTCCAAGTATCTTACCCTCAGCAGACCTTTAAAAAATTAACTACAAGTTTTGTAACTTCTTGGCCACAGAAGCCTGCACTTTCACAGACAGCCAATTTTAAGGAAGGTACGGAGGGGAAGGAGGGAAAACTGGACACAGGTGGAGATCTTATTATCATAGGTAATTAAAGTATACTAATTAAATTAAGACTCCATCTGCCTAAGTGGAGCAAGCCAGCCGAGTCCTTTAATTAAGACACCGTGTTTACTGTAATGGAGGCTGGGAGCAGAAGGCCTGACTGCAGAAGGGATAAGCAAAGAGCTTTCAGCCAACAAGGGGATGCCAAGGAATGGATCCCCGAAGCTGCTAAAATGATTTAATGAACAAGCCACATCCACACGGAAAGAAAGATAGGAGAGGAGAGGAGGATTCAAATGCACTTTGCTGAACGTTTGGCCCTGAGTCTTGCTAGCCATGCCTCCTCCGGTGCATTTCGGAGAATCCCTTTGGAAAAGCCCTCAGATCCCTGCTGGCCTGGAGGCAAGGATTTACAGGGGTGAACTGACCCCCAGGTATGAACCTACCCGCTGGGCTGTGGCCAGCATCAAGGGTGAGCACGGATGCAGACTTGGTGGGGACACAGACACAAACCCCCTGAAATCGATGGTTCATTTCCCTTTCGCTTCTTATTCTGGCCCAGGTGATGGTGATGCTGTGTGGATGCCACTGCGGGTTCACACCTGGGTGCTCTACCTGCTGCTCAAGCAAGCAAGGAAGACGGAACAATGCAGAGCAAGCAGGAGAGGAGAGGGAGCAGCTGGTGTGAAGGGGGATGCATCAAGGGTGAGGGCCCACATGAGCCGTCTTCACCACAGGCCCTCAAAAGCCAGGAACTGGCACTGCCCGGAAGTATCAGCACAACCGAGGCAGCAGTATGTTTAAGCATAGTATTGTACCCATCCCCATCTTTGTTTCCTGTAGAGCACTTCTTTCCAGCAGGCAACTGCTGCTGCTGAGGAAACCCCTGGTTTGAATCTCACCTCTGAAACCGTAAGACAACCTTAGGTGAGGTGCACACTCTTTCAGCCTTAATTCCTACCCCATTGCATCACCGTAATACTGCCTAACAGGGTTGTAGGAAGGATTGTGACTGGAAAATGCACGCAAAGACTTGAACAACTGGGGAGCTGCTACGTTGCACATTTTGACAAAACAGAACATAAGAAGAAAATAAGGGAGAAGGTGAGAAACACAAATATAACTACATAAATGTTGCTATAGCAAGTTCAAATTCACAGATTTCATATGTGAAATTTGTGTGTATAACACACACACACACACGCACGAAAATGCAACTTTCTAAAACAAAATTTCACAAACTTCTATATACCACGTGGCGAAAATGTTGAAAACATTGTTAAGTTTTCAGTCGAGTGCATTATACAGTATATCTCTCCAGTGTTGCAAAGTTGTTTTTTAGCCATCAAAGAGACACAAAGAATGCATTTCGATTGACCATGTGTTAACTTCCAGGAAGCAAGTAAGTAATTTAAAAGAACATATGCATCAGTAAAAATTAACAGTTCAATACAAAGTTTATCATTATTATAACCTCCTTCCCCAAATAAGCAACTACTGAACATTGCCAAAGCGTATACAAATGTTGAGTATTTATCAGAGTGAGTTTATACTTTGATTTTGTATTTTATAAGCCTGCTTTTCTGTGCTAACTCATCCTCAGGACATGATTTCAGTCCTCAGTAGGAGACGCTATTGTTTCTTATACTCCAAAAAATTTGCCAGTGGGCTAAGATCATCTCTATTGTGTCTCTCTCTTCCCTCCTTCCTCTGTGGGTGTGAGATGGGGAAAAAGCACGCAAAGGCAACAGCAGTAGGTTGCAGGTCCCCTGCCCTCTAAGGTTGGTGGGCACATCTGGAAGAGAGTGCTGTGGGCATTTTCACAAAATAGCTGCCATGACCAGTGACAAAGATTTCATTTCTGAGAAGGTAAACGGGTAATACTCAGTGGAAAAATAAGTTACCTAAAGCAGAGGTGGGGCCTGAGCTCCAAAACACGCACCACCCTTTGGACCCATATCAAGACGATGCTAGAGAGCACTTGGCTTTGCAGTACACCAGAGCCCCACTTAATAGTAATTTTAAAAATGTTAATAAATGGAATAAAAAGTCAAGAAGGGCTGGGAGCCTGCCATCTCTGGGCTCGCCTGGTGACCACAGAAGCCATGGCAGAGGAGACCCTCGGCTTTAGGGGTGTTTTTAAACAGTATTTCTTGTGAATCTCTGGCTTGATCACTGAGTGCTCGGTTTGATTTTTGGAAGAGGTTCTTCTTCCCTCTGTGTATGCCACATTCCTGGTATAGGCAGTACCACACTACATAGACCAGTGGTCTGACTGCCTCTGCTTTTATTAATCGTTTGCTTTCTGGTTTTCATGACCTCCTGGTGGTACATTGAACCTTCTAAGAATGACAGGGCTTCCAGCTGTGCCCACAAAGCTCCTCATTCCCACCTCTTTCCCCAAAACTTAGTAGCCGTCATTCC